ATCAATATCAGCCTTACTTACAGCTCTATTAGAACGCATAAATGGTGTCATAGTAGGTGTGCACAATGCATGATTATGTTTCTGATCAGACTTACTTATAACCCACTGATCGTTTGTATTTGTTGTTGTAACTACGACTCTAGCCTTACATCTTGTTCTTGTGACTGGCGTATGAGCACGTTGACGATCAACAGTATTGACTTTTGATACTCGAAACCCTTCTTTGGAACAACAAAATTCTTATGTCTTCACATTCCCTTCCACGTCAAGCCGTGTTGTTCCCTTACGTGCACTAAACCCATGTTCCCGTGCGAATCCCTTGTAAAAGTACCAAGCTTGATCACGTGAACAGAAGAGCTGACCAACCAATCTGTCAGATTCATCAACATTATGTACTTCATGGCATTCCTCGGTTGGCTTAACATTGTCTACATCAGTATTATCCATGGAAAAAATTTTGTTGTGCAAGTTCAGTGGTCCAGGAGTTGATGGAGATGTAAGCAAAGGTTCATTTTGAACATGTTTCAGTCGTGCTGCTTTGAATAGGATGTGGTATTAGTAGTGGTAGTTAAAGGGTGGGTACAACATTAAATTCGCAGTACATATTTAGGTATGTACAATAACTACAAGTATCGACCCAAAAAACATCAAAACCAATAATTATAATGTAATAGGTAAATTAACAATGTAACAAGTATCGACCCAAACGAGGTGCACGCATAATATATTAGGTCAACATAAAGTATCGACACTTATTAAAAGTATCGATCCCGAAAACATCGAAACTAATAATTATAATGTATTAGGTAAATTTACAATGTAACCGATATAAATATACCGATTTTATGCTAAAATAGGTCAGCATATAGTATCGACACTTGTTAAAGTTGTGTCGATACTTACAGTCTAGAATGAATGCCAAAAAAGGTGTACCCTTAAAGTGTCGATACATTTATTAAAAAAGTATCGATCCCTAAAATATCGAAACCCATAAGTATAATGTTCAATGAAACTGGTATAATTATACCGGTTTTATGAGAGAATAGGTCTAAATCATGTATCGACACTTTTTTAGTTTGTGTCGATATTTTTGTCCATAATGAAATATTAAAACCAACGAGGTGCAAGCATAAAGTGTCGATACAAACGGTCTAGAATGAATGCCAAAAAAGGTGTACCCTTAAAAAGTGTCGATATATTGATTAAAAAAATATCGATCCCTAAAACATCGAAACCCATAAGTATAATGTAATAGGTAAATGGTCAATGAAACCGGTATAATTATACCGGTTTTATGAGAGAATAGGTCTAAATCATGTATCGACACTTTTTTAGTTTGTGTCGATATTTTTGTCCAGAATGAAATATTAATGCCCAACGAGGTGCAAGCATAAAGTGTCGATACTTTTATAAAAAGTTTCGACACTTTATGAAATATCGAAACCGATAATTATAATGTAATAGGTAAATTTGTAATGTTACCGCTATAAATATACCGATTTACTTATAAAATAGGTCAATATAAGCGCTACCTATTACATTATATAAGCGCTACCTAATATGTTATTGTACTTGATAATATTTCCTGTTAAATACCTATTTTATTATATAAGCGCTATCTATTACATTATATAAGCGTTACCTAATATGTTATTGTACTTGATAATATTTCTGGTTAAATAATATAACATAACCGGACTAAATTTTAACCGGTCACTTATTTAATCGGTCACGTCGTATATTAACCGTTTTTGAGACGCCGCACCGCAGAACTACCCCAAACATCATTATACCACACCTCAGACATCAGTCTTTGGTAAATATATATTTTATTTATATTAGCTCTTTGCTTTTCCATCGGAGTTGACGACGTTTAAAAAAACAGTCGACAAAGTAAAATTCAGAAAGAAGATGATTTAGCCACATGGTGAATTCTGATCACAAAATACGGTGCGTGACATGCAAGTGTCTTATTCAAAGCAGTTTCTTTTGCGTATAAGGGTCTGTTTGTTTTCAGGAAAACCAATTACGGGAATTGGTTTTCCTTCAATTCCCGTGTTTGGTTGCCGTAAAAGCTTGTGGTCAATGTAAAAACAATTACAGTCAACGTAAAATAAACTCCTTTTGCCCGTAAAACAACTTACCATGGAAAAATCGGGAATTCATTTTACGAACCTGCCTCCCATTTTTCTTTGCCTTTGATCTCCTTCATTCTCCGATCAACTATCACTATCTTCCTTCTCACCAACAACAAAATCAGCAGATTTTTCCAGCAAAATCAAGGGAGGAGCTCTAGGATTCCAAGGTAATATTTCGAATCCCTAATGTTATTCCTCCCCTTTTGCTTTTCTCTTTGATTTCCAAAGGTAAATCTCTTTAAAATGCACCAATCGCACTGTCATTTTCCCTCTGTATGTGGTGATAGATTCGGTAACCACAGAGGTCGAAATTTCATGTCGGATCTTTTTTGTTCTTAAAACCCATTTTTATAACCCATAAACATAATAGAATTCATGCTTATGAATTTTTTGTCTTTTTCGTTGTTTACTGTCCATATGCTTTCCATATTACCATTTAGGAGGTCGAACTCAACTTTTCCTGATTACCATTTCCAGATTACCATTCGTCGGTTTCTTCTCGCTCGCAAAGCGGAGTCCGATTGTTATCACTGACTTGTAAGTTATGTGTTTCTGTTAATTCTACTATGTTTATGGGTACGTTCAGTGATGGTTGGGTCTTTTTTTCCTATTCTTCAATGGCGGATTGAAAATCTTTAGTCATCGTAGTTGTGGTTTTGCTTTTGACAGTTCAAAGTAAGTTTGATGTCTAGCTTTCATGGGCTTTGGCCATGGCAGCCGATTTATATAGTCTTCCATGACAACTCTTGGAGTTGTTATTTTTTCCTTTTTTACCAAGCCCTAGTTTTGTTGGTTTCATCTTGTGCTCTGAACTATAGTTTGTAAACTCTCTCAACAATGTAACGAGTTCCATAATTACTTTCCCTGGTCACATCCCATAGACCAGTACAACCCCCTCCCCCCACACACACAAAACAAAAACAAACGAGTGATACAAGGTCCTACTGAAAACTAAAGCCAAAAACAATATACAATAATATTGACTGTGATTGAGTTAAAGACACAAGCATTTCAACAGCTAAATACTAGCACTCTGTGAACCCATGTCACATGATGGTAAAAAATAGTGTGATCTCATCAAACACCGTTAAAATTTATAATAATTAGTAGCCACATAATGAGAAATTAAAAGAAAAAGATAGGAAAACACCACAAACAATGAACAGAGATAAATAAGAAGACTCCACAGAGACATTTCGAACAAGAGGAATATTAAATAAAAATTAGCTCTCCATGAACAATTTCTTTTCGGAAAAAACAAAGCAAGTGCAACGTGTTAGAATCAAGCATAACACACATATATAACTACTAACTCTCGGCTTTTGAGTTTGGTTTTATACTCTGACTAACAGAATAACACAATGTTAAGTGACTTTTGAGTTTAGAACTAAACGAGAACGATGTTCTTGACATTCTGAATCACTGGATTTTCTGCTAAGTTGATGTTATCAGGATTTTTCGCAAAAATTAATATTTCGTATTGTCAATTTGTTCTCATCGATTAATATTTCGTATTGTCAATTTGTTCTCATCGATTAATATTTCTATTATATGATGTTCTTATCTTATTAGTTGTAATATTTCTAACAGGTTCTTCTTACTAGAGTCCACCTGTACATTTGGTTAAAATTTTCTCCATTACGAGGATCGACCATTGAACCTGACATATCATTGATAACAAAAGGGAAACGAGGTATGTTTTTCAATATATGATATATGACATAAATTCTTAATAGTATATCGACATAAATTACATCCACTTTAGCTTAGGTAAAAGCTTAAACGTAATATGAACTTTAGCTTTAGGTAAAAGCTTAAACATAATATGAACTTTAGCTTTAGGTAAAAGCTAAAACGTAATATGAACTTTAGCTTTAGGTTAACTAAATTCTAATAAAACTATCATTTGGAACATTTAGGATGAGACAATGGAGATGTGAAACTGTTTTTAAAAAAAGAAGGAATATAAGATCTTGTGATGTCCTATATTTGGCATTAAAACTCAAGTTGAAATAAACATACAAGTTGAAATAGGTAAACTAAAGATATACATCCAAGTATATCGACATAAATTACATCCACTGTAGCTTAGGTAAAAGCTTAAAGGTAATATGAACTCTAGCTTTAGGTAAAAGCTTAATACTTATGAAATAAAATTGAAAAATAAAATTGTTTAGAATTGAACTTATGAACTAGGATATTTTATCAAGTTTTGGCATGTAGTATATCAATTTTAAGCGTAAAATATCTTCAAGTTTCTAATCAAAATTTAATTAATTTGTTCAAGTTTGTCTTAAAATTAATAAATATTCATAAAAATTGGACACATGTTGGAATATCAAACCAATTAAATATGTAGCCTAGATGAGTCCAACAAGCGAAATTAGGCAAGTTTGAATGCAAGTTGCAGGATCGAATTCCACTCATATGGTGGTGCAATAATCAGCCCAACTTACAGTCGAATTAACCTTTGAGGTTTCTTATTAGTTACTCTTGGGCATCATGTAGGTTACACATAACTGATTTTGATTTTCCAACTTGTTTTGAACAAATAAAAACATTATACATAATATTGAACATAATTTTATTCATAAAACAATAGTGGTTATAATTTATTATAAAGTTCACAAATTCATAAATATTATGTTCAATATTTTTTTGTAGATGGAACGTAATTCTATTCATAAAACAATAGTGGGAGTCGCTGCTTCAGTATTGGCTTTTGGGGCTCTTTGGATTCACAGACTAAAATCTAGAAAACAAATAAGTCATGAACGTCATGTGAATCGAGATTGTGAAAGAGAAAACTACATCAATAGTATTTTATATAGAGGTGACCAGAATTGTATCGACATAATACGGATGCGACCGGTTACATTTTTTAATCTGTGTGATATCCTTACTAGGAACAATTTGTTGCAGTCGACAAGAGCGGTGAATGTTAAAGAGCAAGTTCTCATATTTTTACATATAATTGGTCATAATGTAAGATTTCGAGTGATTGGATCAAGATATTATAGATCAATTGAAACAATTCACCGTTACTTTAGGATTGTGTTGAAAGCTATTTTGAAATTATATCAATTAGCCATTAGATTACCCGATGAGTCAACTCCTCTTGAGATAAGAAACAATTCTAGGTTTTACCCATATTTTAAAGATTGTGTCGGAGCATTAGATGGAACTCATATTCGTGCATCTGTTCCACCTAACATTCAAGGAAGATTTCGTAGTCGTAAAGGGGGAACGACACAGAATGTATTGGCTGCCATTACTTTTGATTTGAAATTTACTTATGTTCTAGCTGGTTGGGAAGGTAGTGCACATGATTCTCGTGTTTTAACTGATGCACTTACACGTCGAAGAGGATTTAGTATTCCAGAAGGTAATACTTAGCTTTAAAATAAAAAATAATTCACTTAATTTCATAATATATTTAGTAATAATAACATTTTGTCAAATTGTAGGTAAATATTATCTTGCTGATGCTGGATATGGCATCCGAAATGGAATTATTTCTCCATATCGTGGTGTTAGATATCATTTAAAAGAGTTCACCAATCATCGTCCAGAAAATGCAAAGGAATTGTTTAATCTTCGTCATTCATCATTGCGAACCACTGTTGAGCGAGTATTTGGAATTTTAAAGAAACGTTTTCGTGTGTTGGATGCTGAACCATTTTGGGATTTTCAAACACAAGTAGATGTAGTGTTGGCTTGTACTATCATCCATAATCATATAATGAGAATTGATCCTAATGATTTAATTAACGAAGAATTATATGAGGAATACGATCCTCATTCGATAACATCAACTCTTACACAACGAGAAGAGAGGGAAGAAGCTAGAGAATAGGCTACTAAGAGAGAAGAAATTGCAGAAGCTATGTGGAGTGATTATATACATAGAAACATTTAATTTTATTTAGAACATTTTGTTTAGTATTTCTTTGTTACGTATGTTGGATATTGTTGTTTTTAGTTTGTTGGATATTGAAGTTGAAAATGTTTTTAGATTGTTGGACATTGAATATATAATTTGTTGAATGTTGAAATTATTATTTTAAAGTTTGTTGGTTTTATAAATTTTATGTTTTATGTTTGTTGGACATTTACATATGCTTGGGAGTTGAGTTCTTGGCGTCTTATGTATTAGGTGCTTGGTGTATATTTGAGGGTTGATATTGCAAATTACTACATAATTGTTGGATAATTTATGTTTGTTAGTAGTCTAATTACTTACTTTTTATGATTATTAATGTAGAAATGAGTACATCAAAACATTTTAGGTGGACAAAACCAATGGAACGTCTATTTCTCGATATACTTGCAGAGGAGACCCAAAAAGGTAACAAGCCATCTAATACATTTAGATCAGTTTCTATAAATCGAGTTGCTACAACTATTTCCGAAAAATTTCAAGTCCAATGTGCCACCAAACACGTGGAAAATCATTTGAGGACAATAAAAAATACATGGAAAACCATATGTACAATTCGTGAAGAAAGTGGATTAGGGTGGGACGAGAACCTGAGAATGATAACTTGCGATGAAGTGACATATGATGCTATAGTGACGGTAATCTTTATATACTTATTTTAATAAATGATTTTTGAATTTTACTTTTTATGCTAACTGTGTATGATATTTAACAGGCACACCCAAAATATGGACCATATTTGAACAAAAAAATTGATTTCTATGATGAGATGGCTCTTGTTGTTGGTCAAGATATGGCAACAGGGAGTTTTGCTAAAACCTTTGCTGATATAGAATTGGATGATGTTAATGAAGGTTCAATGCCGTTAAATATCGATACTCAAGATATCGAAGAGGAAAAAACAAAATTATCTTCATCTGGTACATCAAAACGTAAAAGGAAGAATGTCCAAGACAATGTCGAGGATGATCATATTAAATTGGTAAGTGAGAAACTTGGAGAGATTGCAGAAGCACTAAAAAAATTTACACAGGATCAAACACCACATATGTATGAAGAAGTTATGTCGATGGAGAAAGAAGGCTTTGATGACGAATTTCTTTGTGAGGTGTTCGATTATTTGGGTAAAAATGAGTTGGAGGCCAAAGTTTTCTTAGCAAAAAAACCAAAACATAGGAAACTTTGGCTTCAAAAGTTTCCTCAAAGTTAGGATGTGAACTTTTAATGTAGAGTACTACTAATTATGACTTAGACAATATTTAAACTTTAATATGTTGTTGTACTATTTATAGACTTTAATCATATGTCGGTTTGATGTGTTGTAGCACTAATTATGAATTAGACAATATCTTTGTATTATTATGGTTGGATAATATTGTTATCTTAATGTTTGTAATCAAATCTTTCTCCATCATATCTGCCACCTTTCGAGGATTATGTCTCTATCGGATCCAATAGTAGTTTTTGTCTTTTGAAATTCATTGTTCCAAGCAGAATGCTCAAACTCCTCAAGCTTTCTATAAGCCAGTGCCAATGTATGCAATCCAGCTTCTCCGTAATTACTCAAATGCTTTAGTAGTATCTTCATCATACATTAGTAAAAGTCTTGATTAATAAAGGATGCTTGCGAAACCTTCACCACCTCAATTGAAACATAAAGTGAAATAGGAATTAAATAACCATAAAGGATGAGGGCAGTGACCAAATAACCTAATAAAATTGTGTATTTATAACACAATCAACATAATTAGTATGTTTTCTACAAGTTTAATTTCATGTATTTATACAAATAAAATATTTCATTTCAAAATTTTATAAAATACAATTTTATAAAATAACTTAAAAAAATTAAAATGTAAATAACAACAAAAATATAAAAATATATACTTTTTTACAAAAAAACAGATTTCATAAATTGTTTTCAGGAAAACTAACCAAACAGCGTAAAACATTTTACAATGCAGCATCCAAACAGCGTAATTGGTTTTCTGGAATTGGTTTTCCAGAAATGTAATTGGTTTTCTGGAATTGGTTTTCTGGAAAACCAATTACAGCCAAACAAACAGACCCTAAATTTCCATCCAAACACCACTTCATTTCTCACCCGTTTTGTCCTTTTCTTCCGTTTATTTCGTTTATTCAAAGTAATTTCTACCGAAGATGATTATTTATGTGAAGAATTTAGATATTTGTAATGTTAAATGATTAATATGTTGACATATGTTAATAATTTAAAGGTTACTAAAATCTAAATATTTGACATGTGTTGCAACCGGCCCTTTGGGAAAAAGGCTGACTAATTGTATCGGTGGGAGTTTTGAAGTGTTTTTGAAATGATTTTATGAAATGTTGGAAGTCGTTACCAATCATTTTAAAGTGGAATTGGAACACCATAAAAACAGGATAATTTAATAAAAAAATTATTTTAATAAAATATCAAGTTTGGGGTCTACGAAAACCAAAAAATAGGTTCGAGAGTCGATTACGAATGATGAAGGGTTAGCACCCCCACAGCGCCTAGAAATTGATACCTAGTTGATTACCCTACTTTAAATTTTGGAAATTTGGAGTCCGAATTTATATTTAATTTAGAAATCATTATGGATGCAAAGCTGAAGAGGGTGCTCGTTTATTAAAGCCAATAATATTCACCTCTAGCATGAATGTGGAAGATCAATTATTGTGTCCAATAACCAGACATTGCCTTGAGATTTCAAAAATGAAAGGGTTTTTAAAAAGAATATTGACCTACTTCAGGAATTACCAGTAGTCGCCCCCATAGCATGAGTGCATGAAATATTCCATTAATTCCTTAATAAGTCAACATTGCCTTGTGTTTAAAAAATAAATGCAATCAATCAATATGTTTACGAACCTAATTATAATGAGTGAGATTATTAAAGGATTTCCTAACCTAAGGTGTCCATTTATGAAAATTAAAGATCTTAAAGGACTAATCCTAAAGTTAGGTCTCTAATATTAATCTTAGTTGAATTTAATCAATTATTAAATCGAATAATCGAGATGGTCCCTTGGGCATTTAGGCGAGGGCCAACTCAGTTTACTCCCTAAATTAAAGGACTATATTGAAATTTAACCTTAAATGGATGCTCTAATTAATGACCTAATTAATTATGTTAAAAGAATATCTAATTAAAATGTTCAAGGACTAAATTGAAAAGGATCTAAAGTCAATGCTCTAATTATTAACCTAATTAAAATTAACCAATTATTGAATCTAGTAATGGAAATGAGCCTTTGGGCATCTAAATGTGAAAGACAAATCGAATTACTCCTTAAATTTAAAGACTAAATATGAGAAGTCTAAATCTAAGGTTTAAATCTAAAATCTAAGGCCCTGATATGAACTATATTAAAGGAACCTAAACCAAAAGAGTAACCCTAAAATCTAACAATTTTTAAAAAGAGAATAGATAAAAATAAAACAAACATGAATTTAAAACAATAAAAAAAAAAGAAAAAACTATACCAACTTAATTAAGGTTAATTAATCTAAGGATTAAATTTAAAAAAACAGAATAGTTCAAGGTCTAATTTAAACTAAATCAAGCAAATTCTAGCATAGTGGCTAAATTGAAATAAATGTAAATTAAACAAACAAAAATGGAATTGTGTCGGTGACATAAGTGCAAAAATGAGCCTAAACTAGAGGGACTAAAGCATGATTTTTTCATTTTCAATAAACCTAGAATGTACTAGCATATAAAAATGTAAAATTGCATAGTTGGGACAGTAAAATCGCAATAATTTTTTTTTTTAAAAAAAAGCACAAACCAGGTGACCAAACGTAAATTAGTTCTAAAAGTATAGGGACTAAAATAAAATTAGACCTAAAAATAAATAAAAATATCTAATTTATCTTTACCTAAACTAAACCTCCTTTTAATCACTCTTCAGCCGCCTCACCCCTCTCTCAACTCTCGTACCCCATTAACCACGCGAAAACCCTAGTGCTCAACACCAATATCGATGATAATGTAACGCCCCGGATCCCAGATTAGGAGTTTTGGGATAACCGGAGATGGGCCTTGGATTAATTCTTCAGCTTGTAGAAAGCTTTGTCCCAAGTATAAGAGGAATTGGGCTTGGTTTAAGGCCAACAAGAATTAAAAAGAATATTTTTAGATTATAGTCAGAATTGGAGGGATCAAGGAAACAATTTCACCATTATTCCAATTAAAAGTTAAAAACCATTAAAAATGGATTATCTCACGTCTGAAACCCTTATCTCTCCTTTCTTACTAACTCTTGCTTAATTCTTTTCTCTCTTTATCTTCTTTCTTCAACCAAGTTAAAAGCTAGGAACTTTATAGATTTTCAAGTGTTTTAGGGTCCAGTTAAGGTAAAAGCCAACACTCTTTCACCTTTAGCTTCATCTCAAGCTCCCAAACACAAGGTTTGGTCATGGTTTTAGAAATTGGGTTTTGCGAGGATGTAAGAAACCTTTGAGTTTCAATCCGATTTTCAAGAAACTTAGACATTCAGAAGTGTTTTTTAACCTTCCTTAACCCCTAAATTCAGTTAGTAACCCTTGATTTGCTTCTTGTTAGAGAGAGAAGTTGGTGAGATATCCAAAGCTATGGGAAAGAAAAGCTCACCTTGGGTTAAGCCATTAACTTTTCTAGTAGCCTAGATACTCATGTAACTCATTTCTAACTCGTATCTATAATGTGTAGGCCATTTAAATGAAAATTGGTAGGTTGCATAAGCTTGAATCATTTTCCATGATAGTTTCATAATGTGGGTGTTTTAGTATTTTTTGAATCCCAAATATCAAATAAAACACTTAAACATCAGTTGGGGACCTCATTAGGGATTTTGTGGTGGAAAGGTAGGATCTTTCGAGCCAAAATAGGGCTTTTCGTAGTAGGGTATCTATACTGTAAGAACAATATCGATGTTATTCATCAGTCAAGCCTAGAAATAGGCAATTTTCAAAGGGTAGTATCGATACTCACTCATAGAACATCTAGGGTCCCGATTTCGATACAAATTAGGTTGGTATCGAGACTAACATTCCATATTACAATTTATGTATTGATACTCACATAGAGTATCGATACCAAGGCAGGGGTATCAATATTCCAAGGGTAATATTGATAATGAGGGTATTTTTCAGAAACATCGAACCTAAATTTGGTATCGATACTCAGTTCAGTATCGATACCCCAGAGCCAGAGTATCGATACTCAGCCAGGAGTATCGATACTACCTTACCCAGATAGCCTATGTCAAACAAAGGGTATCGATACCAACATATGGGTATCGATACCAAGGGTTCAACATCGATACTCGGGGGTTAGTATCGGTACTGACAGGAATTTTTGGATAAATAACCCAAGGGATATTAGATCAGACCCGAGGTACCCCAAATTCATAGGATATTAGAAACATAACAATTAGGATTACATAAACTAACTTTGTTTGACGCTCGGGAAACATTCAGGACACCCAAGTTCCTCTTAGTAGAAATATAACAGTCTTAATTATTACATAAAAAATAAATTAAACTTATAAATATTTAAATTAATTTTATATAATCTAATAAAATCATGTTCAAAAATTAAATTATTTAATGAAATTAAAGAACTTATTATTATTAAGATTTATAATATAAGGATTATAATTAATATAGAAAGTAAATTTATTAATTTAATTATCATAACTAACAATTTGTTTTATCTTTTAAAATGCAATCATATTAGTTATCATGTTTATTATAAATTCAAAATCTCACAACTTCATCAATTGGAACTTATAAGTCAGGTAAATATCATATTAGTTCAATAACAAGTCAGATCATTTACAGGTTAAGTCAATTAAAAGTCAGGTTGATAACAGGTAGGGTAATAATAGTTATTTAGCAAGTTAATCTCTATTTCGGGTTCATTTCAGTCAGATGCAGGTCGGGTTCAGTTATATTATCAGTTTAACGGGTTTAGATCATTCTCAGATCGAGTGCAGGTCGGGTTCAGATCCACAATTTCCAGGTCCAACTCAGGTTCAGGTAAACACAGGTTCAGGTAAACGTAAGTTCAGACTCGAGTCGGTTTCAGATTACCACCACTCAGATTACAAACAGTTTTGACTCGAGTCAGTTTCAATCAGTTTTACAGGTTGGGTCAACCTTTTATATCCCTATTTGCTTATAAGACGAAATCAAGCCAATTTTAGTTTTCTCCTGATAAA